CTCACCTAGCTGCAGTTTTCTCAGTCATGCCTTGGTACAAGTTTAATTGCAATATTAAATCATGTGGGTCAGGTAGGCTAGTTTTGTAGCTCAGCATAATTTTAACAGTAAATGCATTCTTTTGAATCAGAGAAAAACATACAAATTGGTATCAGAATAAATCAGGTTAGCAACAAAGCAAATTATTTTTTACAAACATCTGTGACAACCAAGAAAAAAAATAGACAGCTAGCTTGGTCTGTTTATAGAAGTGGGTATGCATGTAACTTTCAGTCAGAGATGAAGCAAAATACAAAGTTTCCCATAGCAGGAATTAGACAAAAAAATGTACAAAACTGACTTCTACTGCAATGAATGACTGAATTCTCAAAAGCCAGGGCATTTTAAAAAGTATACAAATAGATAGCATGTAAGAGGAACAGCAAATACCATTTAAAAAATCACTATCCTTACTTAAAAGGCACAAAAGTCAATTAAGGATATCACAAGAATAATTCAAAATATGAAGTATTTTCAGACCATACATAGGAAAGCTGTCATCTCTGACTGCTGACAAACCCAGACAAAATGCAAAAACTGTGAAGTCATTATAAACTGGTAGAAACCTTTTGCATAGTGTCAGAGAAGGCCATTCAACAACAACAACAAAAAGGATGCACTTGTTTACCCATTTTTTGTAAGGTTATGTCAAAATAACCTGACATAAGATTATTTTTTTTTACTCCAAAGACAGAGAAAATATCATTACTTTTCTAGTACTATAGCCTATGTGGATTTTTATACAGTCATGCTTCAACAAGCCATGAAATTCAGAGTATAAACATCCAATAGGTGCAGTAGAAAAAATAATCTCTCACCTTTCTGCCAGAGATCTTTTACAGAAGCCTGGTGCATCTCTGTCTCAGATGTAGTACACTTTATGTACATAAAGTAACTTCACCACAATAACTTCATAAGCAAGGGTATTTATTCCAGTGCTTGCAGCACATGCAAGTGCTTAGTAAAATAATGTTTTAAAGCATTCTTCAAACTTGTCTTACAAACCTAAGTATTTGAGATAAACTAATAATGCTTTAAACACTTAACTTGACATGCAACAGTTCAGATTCTTAAGCGTATACATTAACTACCCACAATTTACAGTTATTCAGTCCTGAAAATTCATATTTAGGCATCTTAAATTCAGCACACACAGAGGTAAGGTGTGGTCAGTGATCATCAACTCCTTTCTGGGCTGAAATTTCCACTGTATTTTTTGATATTTAAAGCAGTATCTCAGATCTTTGTATATCTTCTTATAAAGTCTTCAATGCAGAAATGTAGAGCATTTAACTGTTCTAGAAACATCACATATTCCTTTTGTCATTTTTCAATTGTGGCTCTTATTAATTCAAGGAGGCCAGGAAGAGTTAAGCACATAATTAAAATAAAATCATGTCAACTGAAGCCAAGAACTACTGAAATATCAAATCTGATCCAGCTGCCAGAGTCAGAGTTGCTCACATTGACATTTCTCCTGTCACATACCACCAGTTAGTTTTAAACCTGCACAGCATGAGCTTCAGGTCTACTCATACAGTGACAGAAAAATAATGTGACAACCCCAGAGAAAGCAATGAAGGCCTGAAACTAAGCAAAATTATTCCATGTGCAGTGTAACCTTTTCTTTACCGTAATGCATAGAACCTTCCTTAATAAGCTAATCTTTTTAAGACTGCTGGTGGCTGGATGTAGGGAAAGAGAGAAGCGAGGGTCATTGTCAAATCCCTTTTTTCTTGTCTGTTAAAAATAAACAAAAATCCCGTCCACCCAATAAGAAAAGGAAACCTGTTCATATGGTGACTGACACCAAAATAACTACTATTAGGACCTTGTAAATAAAGAGATGAGATGGAAGGGAAAAACAAGAATAGATGAAAACTATACAAGAAATTAAACAGAGAAGCTTATCTCCACATAAAGCAGAAGAATAGAAGTTAGACCAATTTAACCATATGTTAAGAAACAGATCATTAAAATCCATGTGAATCTAGATTTACTAAAGCTATACCAATATCAATATATATTACTTGTCTGCAAAAATTTATTCCAGAAAACTTACTGCAACGGATGGACAGAAAAAGGCAACTCAAGAAGCGTATGTGGGGGAGAGGGAAAATTCTTAGAAAGTTTGTCCCCCTAAATTTCAACAGCATTTTTTTTTTTAAAATTGGTGGTAAGAAATACTTCATAAAAAGAAAACACATGTGAAGGAGGAAAAAAAGTCCTGAAGCTTGCATCACTGTCTCCAAGCACAAGTCTTTAACACATTTTTGTTGATTGCAACTTTAACACTGAGAACTATTTTTCAACTACTAAGGGAAGAGATATTAATCAGAAAGTAGCCACTGGAGTGACTGTTCAGAAACAAGGATGGTAGGAGATGGAAAGTCACTGCAACCTGGTTGCATATATACGACACTCAGGAATGCAAATGCAACTCTCTCAGAACATTAAAACAGTAACTAAAGAGGCAGAAATACTTGCATATTGTCAAAAGTGAACTCCTGTAAAATCCAGTCCAAGGAGCTCTTCTCCTGTATCATTCGTTCTGTGTTGAAAGGGAATGGCTACTCAAAGCCAAGCACAAACCACCCCTCCGCTTTCTCTGACACAGAATATGAATTTTACTACATGAGATTTCTATGGCTCTCTTCAGTTGTCATAACATGAATGGAATTTGTTAACTGCCTAAATGACTTGCTGCAATTCTGTCCAATCTGTTTACTCTAAGGTCTCAAGTACCATGGCAAATGCCTTGATGTGAGACTCTTAAAAAGCTTGAAAGAGAAGAGAAGGGAGTGGAATGTACCATGAGAATCCTTCCTGAGTACTCCAATCTTTCCACATTTTGATAGGGATTACCATAATGATCCCATACATTGATTTCTGGTGGATCACCACAATCCTACTCAGAATGGCACACAGCTGTACATCACCACATGGCACTGCAAAATATCAGTCTCTGAAGAACACAGCTGTAATGAGAGCAGTGCATGCTTTATATAACTTGCTGCAAAATAAATAAATATTGCATAGAAAAAGACAGCCTCAAATTAAAATCAAGACATTTAAAGTTTGGGCATTCTTCATTAAAGGAAATAATCTTCCACACTGAGGCCATTATCCATCAGAAAAGCTTCATCTGTGTATAATTATTTCTGATAAATGATATTAAGCTTCATTAAAGAGGTAGTGGGGATACAAGAGAAGACAGAGCTGTAAATAAATGTCTCCACTGTATTTCACTTCAAATCACCCCAGCAGGAAGTCATAAAGAATTTTTTTAATAGGTAATATTTTCAAATGCTCCGCAGGCTGTGCTGCCTAATATCCATCATCTTCAGTGTATGTTCACAAGCTTACAGCAATTCAGGATGAAGGACACTATTTAATTTCCTTCCCAACCCTGTAATTGCCTTCCCACTTACCCCCAAGTCCTTCTCAGCCACAATAGAAACATTTTGTTGTAACATAATTTAATTCCTAACTGAACAAATTTTCAGAAAACCTGACCTAGTAAGCACTGGAGAAGCACCCTGTAATACCAAACAGTAGATCCTGGCTAATAAGCCAGCAGAGGTGCCGAAGGCCCCTGCCCTGAGAAGGCCCAAATGCATTGATGAAGCATAATATTTTGCTGAATTCTCTAGGAAGGTTGTTTTAAGGCCTTGTTTTTATAGCAGATAACAGATTTCCCCTGAAGAAGTGCTGGACAGAAGGAAGAGCTGATGGGTGGTCAGCAGCAACTGTGTACGCGAAGGAAAGACAAGAGTTACATGTCAAATTTACTCTTATTACAAGAACTGGTATCAGAAGATTGACATTTGAACCCTGCCGTATTTCTGACATAATTCTCACATACAGATAGTAAAAAATAACTAAATTTAAGAATTTTATTTTGGTCTCAAACTACCACAATCCTAAAATGACACTTTGTGTTTCATCCTCAGACAATCTGCATAAATAAAAAGAATATATATGCAACGTTTACATACCTGTATACAGAATAAATACTTCAGCAACTCAGCAAAACCATCCTATGCAAGTAGTTATCACAGCTGAAAACAAGTGTAGTATATCAAAGATTTTTTTTAGTCCTAGTACTTTGTCAGCATTATTTCCAGCAGTTGCCTCAATGTTGAAGAACGGAAGTAGCTCTTGCAGATTTCCTACTAAAAAATAAGCAAGTTTTTCTTGCAATGTGGACATCTATTTAACAGCCACAATGTAAATTAAACTCAGCTCAAGAGGGATTCTCTCCATAGTGCACCTTCTAAAATAAACCTACAGTTGGGAGGAAAACAAAACTACAAATTTGACATTTAAATTGCAGAATACAACTCAATGTATTAGATACAGAATGAACTTGCATAGAGGTTTAGAATAATTTAAAAAACAACACTTTATCTCACTGTGTTTGCTAATCTTTAACATCTTAGCTTACCTTCATGGAGAATTTTTGACGGACAGTTCAATAAAGAAGAAAGAAGGGTCAGGAAAGACAGATGGATTACCACACAAAACTTAAGTTTTAAGCAAGTAACCTAAGTCTAGACAAATGTTCATTACAGTCAGTGCTATGTGCAATTGCAATAATTACAAACCAAAAGGTTTTAAAGTCAAATTTCCCAAGATATTGGTGTTTATCCTAGAATACATATATTAATTTACCAGTCATGTGAGAAGAATTTTCTCAAAATGAGAGAGTGCCTCAAAATCACAACTAAATTGTATACTGCAATTCAAAGAGCTGTAAAGTTAGTTAGAAACTCCTGCAACCCCTCTGAATTTGTTCTTTGGTTAAAGCTATCAATGTCTATTTTTTTAATAACTTCCAACATTTCCTTTCACTCAAAAAGACAGGGCATTTACTTCCAAAAGGGAGTCAGTGAAACATCAGCCTGAGAACAAAGCAAAATGTTTATGCCTCCTTTGCTGCTTAGGACTCATGCACTTACATTCCTCTTTGCTCGGTGAAGTTACATTCAGTTCTGTCAAAAGTTGCTGGTTGGAGTTAGCGGCCTGCGTGGTTAGAGAGGTATTGCTGTTGTCACTGTTCGTTTCTCCAGAGAACAAATCTGACTGGCTGCTGCTTGTGCTGGGAGTAGAGTCATCGTCTGGCTGCTTCTTCTGGAAATCTATCAAAACCAAGATTCCATACATCATCCCACTTGTTCAATCTTATAATCCAATTTTATGAAAAAAAAAAAACTTCAGCAAAACAAAAATAACCCTAGAACACTGCCAGAGGTACCATCATTATGATAATTTGTATATCTCAAAACATTAAGAGTAGCCTTCGTTTTTATTTCAGATGTAAAATACCTTAAAAGTTATTTGTTGTTGAAGAACAGCAAACATTTTCAGAACTACACAGTTACTGTTTCCCCAGCCATTCAAGAGCATCCAAAACTTACCACTGTGTACATCAGTATATAGTAAATGGCATCATTTAAAAGATATTTCACACAAAGCACATACAAAAGCATAAAGGAGCAAACATCCAGTGAGAGAAGAACTAAGGCATGTAATACAAGTAAAAGAAAATGTTACACTTCTGTAAAACCAGTATTTCTCACTGATGTTACATAAAATCCCACCAGTAACAGTTTTGGCAAAGCTAATGTAGACAGCTATGGTTCCAGGTTAGCATGGGGGAGCCTTTTGCATCACTTGTTTGATTGGGGTTTGGGGGGTGTGGGGGAGGTGTGTATATATATTTCTTCTTTCTCTTTCTTTCATTTATTCCAACATTGGTATTGAAAGTTGCTCATTGATATATGATCAGAGTTAGACATGGGAAGTAAATCACTACAACACATTAAAGCTGTGTAAAAATGATCTGGCTTCAAAGTTTTCCTTCCCTGCCCCTCCCTTTTCTTTTTCCCTTCGTATTGGTCAGCAAGTGCCAAGTCATGCTAAGTCTCCAAACTTCCTCCAAATTTCATATCTGTGATAGATTCCATCCTCAGGTCTCCAAAGGAGATTCAGGTCTGAGGGGAAATAGTATTTTCCTTTTTAAGTGCAAATCCTCCCTTATGGGCTTTTTCCCAAACCACAGTCCTGATACCGAGTAGATTAACAGCATCATCTCAATTCCTACCAGCTACAACACTGGATTTCAGTCTGGCACAGTTCTACCACTGGATGCCCCCAGGGAACACTCCTCCCAGCCAAGTGGATTTTGGTTTGCTTAACATCCAGTTATTCTCACAACACAAAGGCACCTCTTCCTTGTAAAGAGACACTTAAAGATGAAGTGCATCACCTCTTGGTATTGCTAAATACTTATTTTTTTAAAAAAATTACATAGAAAGGCAGAATTTATTCCTTACATAAACAGATATATAAATCAGTATTCAGTTGCTCATTATGATTTCAGAGAGGAAAACAGAACAGTCTATAAATATTTGCAGATGATGATGTGTTAGAAAGATGGATCACCAACATGACTCATTGGGACTGGGAAGCACTACAGTCAAACAGTCCCTAAATGCTGATTTAGAATTTAAGTGATTTGCCAGAGAAATTAAGCTGTAACTTCTGCTGTGGAAGAGTCAGCCAGAAGTCCAGCTTTGAGAGGAACAAGCTCAAAGCCAGGGAAAAGAAGGAAGGAGGTGGTAGACAGGAAATCACCCACCTGCACAACACAGCTCTGAAAAAACAGTGGGATGAATTCTGTCAGGGATGAGTTACTAGACCCAGGAAGATGAACAACTCAGGTCCAGTGAGTTATCAACAATATTTCTCCCAAGTTGGTCTCCTGGATATTATTAGTGTGTTTGTGCAATCAAGGAAGCTTCAAGCACTTGGGATTCTGCACTAAACACAATCAGACAGCTGCAGCAATTAGAACTGAAGACACCACCCCAGCAGGTACCCAACTCTTCACACCACTACTGAAGCCATGGTCCTGACAGAAGGGGAGCTCACAGTTGGAGACATTTTGGGAACCATCAGTCTATAAATAACCAGTAAAGAAAATATCTCAAATGTTGCCTGCAAATATAAGGTGGCTCCAAAGATTGTGTTTTATATGAGATTGCATCCAAGGCAGTGCACAGAAGTAAAGCATGTTATATGCATGTATCAGAAGTGGGAGCAACTCCACCTTCAAGAATTAGAGCAAAAATAATAGTCACACTCAATATTATACACCATGAGCAATCTATAAAATGTATTAAAAAAGAAAGCATAAAGTTATAGAACAACAATAGATACTATGAAATACATTAAAATTCAGCAAGTAAAAAAATTCTCAGCCAGTGTATTAATTTTTTTACCAGACAGCTCCAAATACTTTACTCAGTCTGCACTAGCTCAGTTTCATCCACAAAAGGCATTTACAGAAAAAACGTAGAATGTTTTTAACAAAATGGTCTATATAATAAGTCCTGACAGTCCTTTAATGATAGTATGGTAAGTACTAGTGCTACACTGTGTCTCCCAAAGCTGCAAGTTTAAGAGCACATTGACCAAGGTGCTTGTTGTTTTTTTTTCCCTAGAAAAGTATTCACTCTTGCAACCTATTGATAAATTCTCGAGTTTCAAAGAGAGCATAAAAGGCTGTCAAAAATGGTCACAGTGACAGCATTTCCCAACAAGCTTGCTTACAGCTCAGAGCTGTCACACTGCAGCAAAATCCGCCATGGCAGTTAAATGCTCTTTGCCTTCATGAATCCAGGACCTCGTGTTCAGAACTAACTTTTATTCAGACTGCAAATCAATTAACTCAAAAAAGCCTTAGCCTGCTCAGTTGAGTGGAACCTGAGACCATCTCCCATGCCCCCTTTTTAACCACTTTTTCACTGCAGACAAGAAATTGAGGAAAGTGTTGAGACTGCTGACTGCAAGCACCTAAGACATACTAACTGTAACTGAAGTTGTACTACTTATGCTACAGAAAGTTATTAATAGTTGCCTTAGTACTGTAGGGTCAACAGTAATACAGGACCTGTTCAGTAACATAGTTTATATGATAAATTTGACATAAATTACCAACAGATTTCTGAAATACTGCTTTATGATTTGTGGTCCAGTATGTACATGCACAAATACATATCTCATGACATACTGGGTGAACTGTATTATATTTCTTCTGTGTATCGGGGGACTGCATTTGGCTTCTGTTAACCAGGGCTCTTGTTAACACAAATAACTTGCATATCACCTTGATATCCCCAAAAACACAATACAAGCTGGCAACAACTACAGGAGAGCTGTGTCTGAATAAATCCAGTTAAGCCTTAACTGTTTAACAAATTAAACAAAACAAAAATACACACACAATACAGGCAAGACGCTGGCAAGTTTTGAAGGGGAGGCTTCATTCTGATTAAACTCAGAATGTAATTTCATTGACAGAACAATGACCTCTCCTAATAAGTCTCAATGGGGAAAAAACTGAAAGGGAGTTGGCAAGACATTAATCATCATTTCCAGAAGTTTCTGTTTAACTAGAGATGCATGCAAAACACTTATTTAAATTAATTTTTCCTTCAGTTTTAGTGAGACTTTCACCATGCTAGTAAAATCCATGCCAAAATGCACAATGACTGATCAAAAACCCACCAAATCCACACTCCCCTTTTCTAGTTAATGAAATGCAACTTTGCAACTTTTTACAGAAACTTCAGCCAGTTCACAGGTTTAGGAGAAACAAACTTTCTCCATCTGTCAGAAAACATTTTCTTTTTCTTCTCAACTGTCTCATTTTCTCTACTGCCTTCAAATTTGGGGGGTTTTCTTGGTGGTTGTGGTGTCTTGTGGGTTCGTTTTTTTTTTTTTAAGTGCAAAATATCCTGGTGTTACAAGGTGGAGCCAGCACCGAAATAAGATGTGAAATTTAGACATTTCCTGCGTGGTAGCATAACAGAAGGAAAGATCTATCAATAAAATGCATGAAATACATCCAATAAACTATTACTGCATGGTACAGAAGCTGCTAGTAGTAAGCAGCAACACTGTCAGACGTCTAGCTCCAAAATTCTTTTGCTTTGAGTTTGCACCCAATATCTCACCTAGCTGAGCAGGAGCAGAAAAATCTCAGGGAGAGCTCTCATGCACTTGTTGTTAATAGAGTGTTATTTTTGCTACTTCGGATTTCTTTGTAAACAAAACAATGACTATGTGCATATATAGATATGATATTAACATTTCATATTCTATATATACAACGAATTCAAATAGTTTAGACTAAAAGAAGCCAGATTTGTTTCCAGATTTGAGAAGAAAGGTTCTTCTGCAAGACAATCTTTTGTCGACTTGTATTCATAAAATTAACATTAAAAACAAAATCCATTACCTTTACAGCTTCTAACCCATAAAGCCAGAGATGCCACACTAAATCATGTCTTCTGCACAGGACTAAAGCTCTCTTGTACATTTGTCCAGTTACAGTTACTAGGTTAGGGTAAGAAACCAGAAGGAACATATTCCCAATCTGTTCATTTCACCCATTACCTCAGGATCAAACTAACAAATATTTAGAACATCCAACCTCTACCATCACCTAAAACACTCCTGATTCTGTGACACACACACAAAAAAAATCTGTCTCAATTCCCGTATTTAGTTTACTTTAGTCATCAATATCCAACAAAATACCTAAGGAAATACTGAGTCCTCAACTTTTGCTTAACTGTAAGGGTTCTGTAACGTTAAGCAGGCAACAACCCTTCAGAGTCTAGTAAGTAGCTTCCGTGATTACAATCAGCTGAAACTTGAGGTAAAAGGCAAATATGAGCAATATCAGTGTGTCAAAGTATTTTATTCTGGAAAAGACAAGCATGTCAACATATCAGATGAAATATTTTAATACTAAGCTAGAGCTGCTTCTCGTTTGCACTCCTGCTATAAGAAATCATAAAATTTATGAAACTCCCAAATGTTCTTAAATTACGCTCTCCTTTTGGTTTATCTTAAGGCTCAAGGTTACAAACACTTTGTATTCTCTGGTCTATAACTGATGTTTTCATTAATAAGAAATGAGTCCATTCAAATAAATGAATGTTGCAAGAAGTGTTGGAGTAAATAGCATGCTAAGAGCAGAAAATTAGTCTTTAAGGTAATTATTTTGGTTGATAGGCAGTATTCCACCACTTCTTTATTCTTCAGTCCTACAGCTCCCGTAACTTAGCAGTGTGAACCAATAAAAAAGTTATTTGAAGCATGTTTGCTTCTTACACCGCATTAAATGTGCAATCTGCATATTTTTTAATGCCAGAACATCTTGTTCTTTTACAGAGCTTAAATTAACTTGTTAGTGTCACATCAAATGTCTACTAGTCCATTTGTATCCCAACATACACAGCAGACTTTTACCTTACTCTAGTGCAATAAGAAAACATATCCATGCTTAGAAGAAATTGCGTTTTGAAAGTACTCTATGAGAAGTAACACAAATATTATGACATTGAAACTGTTCCAGTGAAATGTTTACTTTATTGAATAATTTTAGGTTTTTTCTTCACATGCCTGGAAAAACTGTTCAAATATGACCATGGAATACTACTGTAAGTCCTAGGGTTTTATTTACTGAAAACTCTTCACTGGACTTTTCTAGTTAAAAGCTTACTGAAGGCATTTCAAGTGTCATTCATGTATAACTACATTTTGCATACTGTGAAATGGCTAAAACCTTTCCTTTAAGTAGGTATCTGAATGCAATCTAAAGCTCAAGTAATGGACTGGCAATAAAACTCCACTTGGGAGGACTTTTCTTTTTTTCTTCTGTTTTAAATAACACACAGTCAGAAAGATGATGCAGTAGCCCACTTGCAGAATAAACACGGGGGAATGCACTATAGAATTTGCACGAGCATTTGTATCAGAACACAAGCAAAGTAATAAAACTGAATCAGAGGTAAGTACTGTACGAAGATATATTTATAAATATAGTAACAATATTTAACATATATATATAAAAAGCTATTTCTTAATACATCTACAGTAATAATAGCAACAATAGGTGGATTAATTGAAAATTAGACTGGAGAGTGCAAAATACCTATCACAGTATATTCCTGTATGAGCTATCAGCAAAGCTCATTAATTTTACATTATGCACAAAGTACAGGGAAAATTAACAAACCAGTAACAATATTAGAAAGATGATTTTCTATAAAACTGAACTTTATTTAGAATTGTGAGCACATATGGTACAGGAAAGCCATTCAACTCTGGAGTTTTTATTCATAAATACAACTTTGTAATTTTTTTTTTGGTTTTTCTTCATGAAGAAAAACTGAAGGGCATTATCTATGCTGAGTTATCCTTCATGATTGCTACATCTTTTTAAATGGCAATACATTAATGAGAGTTTCAAATAATACTGTGATTTGCATGTTGTATATACTGAGCTTTTTATATACCTTTCATTTTTTCAAGTAAGCAGAAAAAAATACTAGAAAAGTGCAAAATAAAGAATAAGAAAGACTAATCTGCAAGCATGGTAGCAAGAACATGGCTCCAATTACATGTGTTTATCATCCAGGAATTAGGATCCAGTTATATAATAAGACTGCCGTATTTGTAAAATTACTGGGATGTTTAACATGATCAGGTTTCTGTTAGTTGTTTGTTTTGCAGGAAGTCTGATGACTTTGTGTTTTAAGGTGTTTTTCTCTCTCAAAAAAAACACACACACACACACCCCCCCTCTTGCTTAAAGGCAACATTCCATAATAGGCCTTCTTTCTCCTGGGTCTATAAAATTATATTCTCCCAAGATACACTGGAAGCTCCAGATTTGACTACCAGATTTTGCTTATTATTTAGCCAGAAAAGTCATGAATAAATAAACAAAGGTTAGAAAGACAACAAGCATAACATTATTATAGATGACCTTCAACTTAAGATCCAGGTCATTAATAAATGCATATGCAGACATCTTTTTAAGGAAGAGAAATGCAGTTTTGTATAAAACTGAGTAGAAGAATCTATAGCAACTGTACTAACACCAGGCTTATAACAACTTACATTACTGGCATGAGAAAAATTGCCATTTTTATAGCACATGATCCCACTACCTCCAAAGTAGTTGTAAAATCCTGAATTGATGAAAACAGGAACTTCATTATTATCTACAAAAGCATCCTCTGAGAGCAGCTTCCCCACAGAACAACCACTACTTGCTCTGCCTGATACTACATTTGCTTACTGTAGCTATTGCAGCACTGACCAGGAGCAAGGTCACTGAAAACCCCTGTAAGTAACATTTTTAAAACCCTTGTGTCATAGTTCCCATTGTTACTTAAAGTAGCGTGCTTACATTATTTCAACTAAAATTTCATTATTTCATAAATCTCACCAACATAAAGATTATATAGAAGAATAAAGAAGAATAAATATTATTGCCTGTCATCACAAGATCCAAAGTACTGAAGCTATGAAGAGTAAACTACTATTTTAACAATCCACTTTAAATTTCCTGTAACAGAACCGCTCAGGTCCATGGTTAGCATTCATACTTTAACTCATTACAGTACATGTATGATGAGAAAGTACTACAAAAAGGTTCTATTACACTTCAAAACCTAAAACTAAAAAGGGGCTAGCTATACAGCACCTGCATCTGACAGTGGAACTAGAAAATCAAAACAATTTATTACCCAACTGATTGAGACTGTATGGATTCTTGAATCCACAAAAAAACTCAACTATCACTCACCTAAACTTCCATATCTTTATCTCTAGAATTTTTAGTACCAGTATCCCTTTATGAAATTAAACAAATCAGTAAGAAATGCCTCATTCCAAATTAAATTCAGAGAGTGATGACACCTCAAAATTTATGCTCATAAAGGGGGAAGAAACATTCTTGATTGGAAGAATCTGATCCATAAACCCATAACAAGCACTTTGCAACAGCATCGAGTCATACAAAGTAAACTAATGAAGTGAACTTGTGAGATGCTTTCATAATAAATGAGAGATCTTGAAAGCAGGACTGTTAACTGATAGAAACAGAATTTAATTACCACTGATATTTATTCTGGATACTTCATTCACCAAGCACATAGGAACTAATATTGTTTTAATAAAAGAAATATTTCAATTAGTTTTTCTTGTACTGGAACTATTTTTAAGTCACCTTGCCATGCCCCTTCCAACACCTAGAGAGAACCCTTCAGTTTCAAAATGTGTGGCTATTATTTTTCTAAATAATTCCTCCAGTCTAATTTATGTGGTTCCAATTAAAGTGAACGTTTGCCTCATTTGCTGTCAATAATAGTCACATTTAAAGTTCCAGGATTCCCAAATATTTGACTACACTATAAATCATCAGGATTTTCACAAGGGATAATAGGCCTCTATGGTAAATTAAAGCTTTCTAGTACAAACCCACAAACCTCTCATCAGTTCCTTCTCCCTCACCTCCACTTAAGGTACCTTAATAACTACCATTACCAAAACTCTTAAAACATCCCTCAGAATTACTCATTTATCAGACTCTTTTCCCCAGTTTCCTTTGAACAGCCCAGAGGCAGACTGAAGAGCATTTTGGAAGAGAAGGGAGAGCAGGCACTCTCACTTTCTGGCCTCGCTTCCCCACAGCCATCCCAATCCTTTGAAATGTGTGTCTGTGAGGACAATTTAGTTCTTTATCACTATTCAGGTTTTACTACCAAAGCAATGAATGGCGAGGTGAAGTGTAAGAGGTGAGCTTCTTCCCACTCTTCTCAACCCTACTGGAATATGATGCTTCACGTTGTAATAAATATCTGCCTTTCATATGCAGTAGCTAGAGGAAAGTGTGGAAAGGAAACTCCAAGTCTGACAGTCCTCAGTTGTAGGGCCAAAACTTCGCAGTGGTTGGAGTTTATATGAGCAATTTGTGACTGCAATAATCTACAGTAGTATAAAGAAAAAAAAAAGGTCATGTTTTAATCACACAATTGAGAAAGCTCAATGGAAACTCATCTGACACCTGTGTCCTTACCTTCAAGCTCCACATTTTAGTAACTTTACAAATGAGTCCAGTAGCTTAAGGGAGTAGCTGTAATCTCCCACTTACCATCCCCTCCTTCCTATTCTGTAATCACACAGAAATGCACAAGACCAGTATTCAAACTGCCGATAAAAAACAGTAGGAGTTCAAGGACCCAAGTAAAGGAAAGCTGATCTAGATTTATGAATCCAAAAGGTCAAACACAGCAAACTCTCACTAGGCGCAGCTGCTGCAAACCGCTGCATTACACTGAGTTCTGACTATGGAACACTATAGTTCAGAAGCCCAACTCCAATTTAAACAACCATTAGTTATCTTCAGCAAACTTGAAATATATGTATTTATTTTACAGTCTTTTAGGGTCAAGAATATGAATATGCACAGATATCAAAGAACTGTGTACATAAACACTGCTTAGGCCTCTGTGAGCAACAAAACATACTGAAGTTTTGAGTTAATAAAACCAATTTGTTTTTATTCCTACTTATTAAAATGTTCTTCTAGAAGATAGTAGAAACGTTGAATTCAATGACAATGTGTGTTGTCATTAACTTATTAGCCAATTAAATCCCAAAGAAAATAGCTGGAGCACATCTCGAAATTTGAAATTAGCATTAAATAGCTACAAAAGTAAGTCATCTAGTGAGTGCATATCTAAAGCTTGTGGATTATTTTTTTTTCTTCTTACAGCCGTTATTCAATATTCAGATGCTTCTCTGGTTTCTTTACATTAGAAGATAGATAAGGAAAAGGAATGGAAAAACTATTCTCCTCAGAATGATGCATTCCTGTCCCCCCCAGTGGAAAAGACAGATACACTGCTCCTCAATTAACTTACTTTTATATAGCAAATAGATGTGGACTTAAAACATCTCTTGTGACGATGAAGCAATCCTTCTGCCTGTCAGTGCTGGAGGTTTGCTGCTGAAACTGGCTAAAAACCAGTCTTGCCTATGTCTTAATATGGAAGAGAAACTGCAATAAACAAGCATGAGAAGAAAAGGATCCTTTTACTCCTCATATCCATGATTTGTGATTTGATATGATCCAATTTCTTGAGCTACCACTTCCAAGTTAGTGGAGATGAGAAAAAATGCCTTTCGCCAGTGTTGTTTCCAGAGCTCTGGATTGCAAATGATTCATTAGGCCTAATAGTTCTGAAATCCCTTAAATGGGAGTCTTCACTAGCAAAGCATAAATCTCTAAATCAAAGGATCAGTGTGCTGACCTTGAATAATACATTCATTAATGCTGGTAACACTGGGATCCTGCACATGAAAACAAATTTCTTCTGTGTCCAGTCCTCCATGTTCCGAGTTTTGTTTCTACAACTTTAACAGTGTCACAGCCTTATGGAACTAAGACTCCTACTCACAGAAAGGCCCCAGCTGTTTCGCTGTTCATCTAGAGCCTTAGAGATTTACAAGGTTTTGTGGATTCTTCTACTAATAACATACCAAAAAAAGCAAAAAATATTTTGAGTGTTCAACGTGGGGGGGAACAACAATTTTTGTTATGCTGTGAAAGAACCACAGGAAAATCATCCTAAAATGTTTCCTAAACAGAAAGGAAAACAAGGATAAGAAATGTTAAATCTCACACATTCAGCTAGTTTGTTACACTTTCTGAAGTGCAATGGCCATGAAAAGCAAGGAACTAAAATATGCTTTCAGGAAGCATTTGAAAGCATTCT